CAAAATATCCAAAACACAAGACCTGGTAGTAATGGGGGACTTTAACTACCCAGACATCTGTTGGAAAAGTAATATGGCAAAATGTCCAATAAGTTCTTGGAATATGGAGACAGCTTCTTGTTTCAGAATGTGGAGGAAGTAACTGGGGCGGCGGGGAGGGAGGGGGGTTGAGGAGGCAGCCATTTTAGACTTGATTCTAACTAACAGGGAGGAATTCTTGGAAATGTGAAGGGTGAAGGCAATTATTCCAACACAAAGGAAGGATAGGAAGAGGCCAATATGGTGCCACCAGAAGCTCTTTAATTTGACCTGAAAATCAAAAAGGAATCCTACAAAAAGTGGAAACATGGACAGATTGCTAAGAAATACAAATAATAGCACCAACATGTAGGGACAAAATCAGAAAGGCTAAGGCACAAAAATGAGTTACACCTAGCAAGGGACATAAAAGGCAATAAGAAGAGGTCTTATAAATACATTATGAGCAAGAAAAAGATGAAGGCAAGTGTAAGTCCACTACTTAGCTAGAAAGATGACTTAATAACAGATGATATCAAGAAGGCTGAAGTGTGTAATGCCTGTTTTGCATCAGTCTTTACTAAAAAGATAAATTGCAACCAGATACTTAACACAATTAATTTGAACAACAAGGATCCTGTTCAACTGATTGAGCTATTGGTACTGGGGAATGAGTGTGCTGGCTTGTAAAGGAAACAGGGGAACAAACCTGTGTCCTCGAGGTGGTTTCTTCCTCCAGTGTGTCAATGTCCCTGAATAAGGCCAGACCCGAAACAAGAAGAAATTGAGGATAGAGGAGGGTGAAAATTATCCCCCTTGAGCTCTAAACTGTGCTCTACAATCTCAAGAGGATGTAGTAGCCTGCTCTGACTTCACGGTAAGGCCCCCAGGTCCTTGTACTCACTGCCACCTTGGGGAGAAGGGGTAGGGAGTACATGCCAATCCATTTTGGAGCAGTAGTAAGGAGAACATTCCACTAATCCACTTGAACCGTCCTGCTTTGTCAAGATACAGGAGTTTCTGTACATTTTTTGTTACTGAATCCAAACAAAGACAATGAAAATTTTTGCCTAGGTAATGATTGTAGGATGAGGTATGTGGAGGAGTCGTGTATATTTGCTTCCTTTTTTACCTTTAATGACTCTAAGAAGATATAGAAAGTAGCTCAATTTAATTCATCGGAAACCAAGGTTAAATTTAGAAAATTATAATTAATTTTTAAAAAGCTGTGAAAATTTCTAGTCTCTCTCATGCCTTCATCTGATGAAAAGAACTTCTTATCCTAAAATGTGTCAGCAGCCAAGCCAAAATGAGGCCATTCCTTTAGTACTTCAAAATATTATATTTAATTATTATTCACAAAATATTGTAAATTTACATATTTCTAAATTAAACAAAGGTATAATAAAGTTTCAAAATAAGGCCCCAATCCTGCACACTTGCATGTGGAAAAACTTAAGTAAATGTTTGTAGGATCAAGGACTAAAACTATAGTTTTCTTTTCACTGTAGATTTAAACCAAACTTACATTCCCAGAAGCAGCTACCAGTTAATGTTTATGCAGTCTCTATTCCAAAGTGTCATTTAAAATGAACTTTAAACAGATAAATAAACACAATTTATTAGTATATAACCACTTGATTGCCAAACGAGGGTCATATTGCAATACTTCCATTGAATTTTATATACATAAAGACAACATGAAGAATTAAATGTTAGGTAATTTATTTAGCCTACAGCTGTTCTGCATTTTTGTAAAAGCGGTAATCTATATCAAAGAATGGGAAATTTTAATTTACGATGCTGACTGCTCTGCTTAGCTCGCTTTGACGTAGATTACTGCTTTTATAAAAATGTAGACCAGCTGGAGGGTAAACAGATCTTCTATGTCTTAATGTTTCATGTTGATCTTTAACTATATGCAAGGCAGCATAAAGCCCAAATTTCAAGTTAGGTGCTTAACTTTAGGCACCTAAATTGTTATTTAGATACCTAAATATATAGATAACTTTAGGTACCCAAGTTTAAAACTGGGGCCCTAAATTACTAGAGTATGATTCTAATTTAGTATGGACCACAGAAATAAAAGAGATGGTTAATGAATTAAGCATATACTCTATGGCTTTATGGCCCCAATTCAGGAAAGCATTCCTATTCACAACAACATTTAAAGAATGTCTCTAATTTCAACGGGATTTAACAACACGCTTAAACTTAGGGTATGTCTACACTACAGTAAAAGACCTACGGCATGGCCATGGTTGGCTTGAGTCCACTGACTTGGACGTGCAGGGCACAGGCTGTGGGGCTATAAAATTGTAGTGTAAATGTTTGGGCCTGGGCTGGAGCCTGGGCTCTGAGTCCTTTTATGGGGAAGGGTCCCAGAGCTGGGCTCCAGTCCAAGCCTCAGTGTATATACTGCAACTTTATAGCCCTTCAGCCCTGAGCCCTGTGAGCCCCAGTCAGGTGACCCAGGCTCTGATACTTGGTGCCATGGTTTTTTTTAAAAATCTCAATGTAGACATACCCAAGAGACCAGCCCACGTTGCTTCATTGCCTTTAATGAGTCAGAAAGGAGAGAACTATTAGGTAGAGCAGACTTCCTAGATCCACATATGGAGGGATTATTTTCATATGAATCCTTTCCACCACATGGATGGGGACTCAGCCACCTTCATGATTATCATCCCTCTCCTCTCTGGGCCGTACAGAGACCTCTCCCCGAGAGGAGGGGAGAAGTAGTTGGGGTGGGCACATTGGGGAAACATATCAATGACCTACTAATCTTGTGGGGATTCCTGGAAATGATGAAAAAACCTGGGGACATATTATTTCTTCTGTAGAGCATCCCCCTAAAATACCAGGGACCACTGTAGCCAGGGGGAATTCTGATAGCACAGAGCCAATGGAACTGTGCTGTCCGGGAGCTGGGGGGACTGGGAGCCAGAACTGAGGTACAGGCACAATGTCTCAGTGCAGATGGCCATGATCTCCCAAGTTTGGGAAAGGTTCATGACCTGTTCACTCGTGGGGTAAATCCCATCCCCCTTGAGTTCCCTTCTGTTACCTCCCCACAGTTCCCTTCTGTGGGATCTACTATAGGAAGGGGTTATCTGGGCCATTATGATGATTGTTTATTTCAATTGCTACAGTGCCCAGAAGCCCTTGTCTGGCTCAGGATCCCTTGGCCTAGGAACTGTACAAAAATATAGGAATACAAGGTCCCTGCCCTGAGGAACTTAGAATAGTTAGAAAATCTATGATTAAATGTACTTGACAAAACATGAACAATATAACCATTGTTTCCATTTCTACTGGGGCATCTTACCTCATACTGACTACAGAGATCAACACTATCATTGCCTTTCTATTTATGCTTTTGAATTGTTTCCTCTTATCACTGTGTGCTCAAAAACGTAAAATAAAAAATTAAAGACCAGAAGAAAAGTTGTTGGATCATATTAAAGAAGTTCTGTATTAAAATCACAAAAATAAAAATAAAAATTAAAATTAAAATGAGTTTGATTCCCCATAGTTTAAATTCCAGGGTATTACTAATTAAGAGGTCTCTTGGTTTTTGGTACTGTTTCTCTCCCTCTATGTGTGAAACTTGCAAGCTGCTAATTGCGTTAGTACATTCTAAGACAGAGTCTGTTCTCAAAGCAATTCACACAGAGAGAGACTCAAAGCAATACTCTGTAACAACAGAAACAGCACCCAGAGACTCCCCGCCCTCTTGTTGTATTAACAATTGTGATTAAAATAGAGATAGAGGATGTATGTGGATGGATGCTTGGTGTGGATAATAACTGAATGATCAGGGAGGTGCCAGCCTAAGAATCCAGTGTCCATCAGCTGAAGAAGGCGTCAAGTGGAAATAACCAGAGGACCCCCGGAGGGCAGACTGGAATCCACCCAACAGCCTCAAGAATGGCAGAACCAAAGAACAAGATAACATCTGGCAGCACGGAGCCTCAGGAATGTGCCATCTGCTGATTGATTCAGCAACAGCATGATGAAGCAATTCCCATAGACTGGCATAGGAAGAAATTCCTATAAAAATGGATTCTGGAAAGTGAGAATTTTGGGGGTCTGATTCTGCAAACCAACTTCCAGGAGCATCAGATGAGCATCTGACAAGGCCCTGCTCCCTCCTCATGTCCAGGCCACCTGGCCAGTGGCTTGGCATGAGCAACTCTAAGGTTGGTAACTATGATAACAACCTTGCAGAACCTGAGTGTGTGTGTGTGTGTTTGTATGAATGAATGTGTGAATAAATATGAGATTAAATGGAATGTTACAGCTATAACTAACTGCTTACTATGATTCTTTCTGTATTCACAATAAATGTGGTATTTTGCCTTTTCCCCTTTAATAAGATCCTGCTGGTTTTTATTTTATTGGTATAACAAAGTAAGCACGAGAGAAAGTCCATATGTTAAATTCCAATCTTCTCTGACTCTGCTCCTGCATCCCAGTCATGTTCTCCAGGTACATTAGCTAGTCAAACAGATAATTTTTCTGCAGATTCATAATCCTCAAAACTCAGACTTTTTCCCATTCATCTTCGACCCAGAGTTTAATTAGGAAAAAAAGTAGCAAAGCTGCCTCTAAACTCTTTTTTGAAAAGTAAAGAGTGTGTTTCCTGGCCTGGGTAAAGTAGGCCATGTCTGGGAAAATATAGATTCTGCTCCCTCTATATTACATCTCCGCCTTCTTCTTGGCTGCTATTAAAATCCTATTATATTGGATCAGGCCACTTGTTCAACTACCTTGTGACAGAGGGTAGTGCCAGATGCTTTCTGTCTAGGTTTTCTCTAGCACCCTTTGTTATAATATCCAAATGTTCCTGTTGTTGCATTTTCTGCTCCTACTGTACATTACACCAGCCTATAAGCAATTTCCACATAATATATTGTCACCCTTTACATTAAGGACAAAAGATAACAAAAAATGCTGCATGTGTTTGTGTGTGCACGCACGCATGCACACCAGAGTCACACTCCTTCACAACTGGGCTAAAAGTTTTGAGAATGGAAGTCTTTGACATGGAAGGCTTTGTCGATTTCATTTGCATTTTATCTTTGGGACTGAGCTGCAGAGTATTGTAAGGAGTAAGGGACTTATTGCAGTCAGCCACCGACTAAAAATAAAAAAGAAGAAGTAGCAGTAAAAACTTGAAACATCATTCAAAAATACATGGTTTAAAAAAATGGAAATCCCTGATAATTCACCCAACTGAACATGGAATCGAGTCAAGTCATGACCCTCAGTTTCCTTAATATGTACAAAGAAACTCTGTTGCAAGATCCTACCACTTCCTATCTGTTTTATTTGTCTGCTTTGTTTGAAACCTTCCAGTCCTTAAAGAATGATATGAAAAACAGCTGTCACATTTCCACAGATCAAATTTTTAACATGGGAAGCTGGAGGGGAGTATACCTAAGAGTATAACAGCTAATGCTTGGCTGCAGGAGGAGAAGGGGGAAAAATTCATGATTGAAATTTAGCAGTTGTCATTGTGAAATGATGAAATAGCCAAAATGTAGACGGCATCAGTAATGTCTTTCAAATCTTCAATGTTTCTCACATGCCACAGTCACTGGACATAAGAGGCAACAAAATCAAACCAATGTATAATGTAAGATGTAATTGGGAATGAATGTTGGACGACCAGAAGCTCGCTGGTCAGCATAGCAATTGCAATAGGATAAATTCTACATTATTGTGACATTCCAGAATGCCAGATAAATGTCCGAAGAGAATACATGTGCTATTCCACTCCTGTAAATCTGTGTGCAGTATCTAACTCACACGAGGGGAAGCTTCTCTGCTTATGTCTTCATTCTTACTTCTTTGCAGCTGCCTAAGTTCCCTAAAAAGTACACTGAATAGAAAAAGTGCAGTCACACAAGAAACTGGATGTGCCCTGCTCAAAAGACCCAGGTCTGCCTGAACCAACACAAACAAGCACCAAAACCCACAGTCGGTTGAAACACTATGCACTCAACTTATGCTCCCTCCTGTTCTGTTTCTGAGGTTCCTACTGCTACACTGTCTGGCCTTGGGTAATTGAGCCAGCTCTTATGTATAGTTGAGCCTGCACCCTTAGTTATCGAAAGGCTTCAAGAGAGCTCTGAATAACCAAGACAGCAATATATGTAAAAGGCAGTTGAACAGAGCACACCATCAGGAAGTGATTGCAAAACCCTGACCGAGGGTTCTGTCTTGGTTGAATAACTCCTAGGTTTTGCGGGGCCTCTTCAGTGTCCTGTCTGTGTGAAATCTGCTCTGCGGTGCACTGTATGACTAGTGAATCTGGTGAGTGTAGAGAAGATCCCCTGGTAAGGTGACCAGATAGCAAGTGTGAAAAATTGGCACGGGGGTGGGGGGTAATAGGAGCCCATATTAAAAAAAAAAAAAAGCCCCAAATATCTGGACTGTCCCTATATCCCTAATCCCTGGATGATTTAGCAACCACTAACTGTAGTAATATTACAACGTATGTGAATTTGTGAGCTATTTATAAGATCAGTAACAGTCATTAGATTCTGTTATATAGATCATTACTTTACAGTTTCAGAACTAGATACAAACGTTAATCCTCGCAGTCCTTTCTCAGTTAGGTACTATACTATCCTCATTTTATATGAGGAGAACCTAAGGCACAGAGACATTAAGTGTCTTGTCCAAAGCCACATAATGAGTTAGTGCCAGAGCCAGGTTTAGAATTTGCACTAAACTACACTGCCTCTCAAGGCCAATGCTAATTTCAAATGCCTGCATGCATCGCTACACATCTACAAAATCCTTTTACTTCTCCTTTGTATGGACACACACAGCTCCTGATTTTTCAAACTATATGACTATGTACACCAAGGTGTTTGACATTAGAATTAAGGGTGGGACAGCTCAGTGAGGCCTTATGGTTAATGACTAAATGCAATGAATCTGAACCCAATCTTGAATGCCCACCTGTGCTCCACAGATGATGCTTCAGTGGGAAGAGTCTCCTAATGTTATAGCTGCATCCTGAAGCTACTTGCACTGAATGTGAATGAATACATTTGGGTTAGGTGGTATAGGCTAGAAAACAGCCCTAGCAGAAAGTCTAGAATTCCTGTCTGAACTTTTCCTCAGCCTTAATCAGAACAGAGACAGAGCACATTGCTGTAAAGAAATTGTTGCATCACCCAAAGCCGTTAATTAGACTCATTATAACAAACCTTTTCTTAATATTCACAGCACTAAATTATAAATGACTGACTGGCATCTGGACTCTTATTACATATTCATTAGGGTTGGATGAGCTTTCTGTTGTGGAACTGAAAATTACACGCAACTGTCTTGATTTCAGGTATTGTTACAAACCTGAAAGTCTACTCATGGCAATTAAAAGGTAGGCTGAGCTTCGTGAATCTTTTGAATGACTTTGGACCAAGTTTCAAGAAATCTTCCACCCTCACCATAGCTTTAAGGGAAGGATCAAATTAAAACCATATATGGTGGGAAAGACACCGTTCCCCTGCTTTTCAGAAGGTCTTGTTAGTTTCTGCAGAATGAATTTAAGCTTTAATTTTTAAAAATATTAAGTTTCTAGCCCTTATGCGTTAAAAATCTGAATGAATAGGTGCTGTCTTACAGATGTCAAAAGAGATACAGCAGGGAGGAATCTGACCCATTAGTTTAAATATGAGCTGCTTCCATTCACCTCAAGGGATGTTTGCTCTGAAGACTAACATTATATAGTTAGATGTCAACATTGTCAATGATTTGCAAGGTTAGTAGAAACATTCAGGTTACAAGGAGAGCTTGGGGTTATGGGAGAAGATTGGATGAAGTCTAGGAAAAGATTTATGGGTTCTTCGAGTGCTTGTTCACGTGGATTCCAATGAGGTGTGCGCGCACCGCGTGCACGGTTGTCAGAAAGTTTTTCCCTTAGCAGCTCGCATCAGGTCGGCTTGGGAGCCCCCTGGAGTGGCGCCTTCATGACACTCAATATATGACCCTGCCGATTCGACTGCCCTTCAGTTCCTTCTTACTGTCGGAACTGCAACTCACTTGCTTTGCAAGTGCTCCCTTAGCATAGTTACCTAGTCTAGTTCTTCTTGTTTCTTGTTTTGTAGTTGTTAGTATAGTTATAGTTAGTATAGGTGTTTGTGAGCCAGATCTTCCCTATCCCCTCACCCCTTCTTGGGCTTCAGGGCATGCTACAAGCCCAAGGCTTTAAGTCTTGTAGTGCATGCCATAAGCCCATGCCAAATAGTGACCCCCCTCAACGACTCTTGCCTGAGGTGTCTGGGGGAGGCGCATCAGACCAAGCACTGCAAAATCTGCAGGGCTTTTAAACCTAGGACAAAAAAGGAGCAGGATTTCCATTTGAAGCAGCTGCTCATGGAATCCGCACTTTGTCCATCGGCTTCAAACAGCCAAGGCTCGGGCCTGAGCACTTCAGTGCGGAGCTCTCCGGCATCGGTTCACGACTCAGGGCTGAGGAAGGACTATAGTGCGAAAGACCCTCGGCACTGGTGATCCCCAGCTCCGCAACAGGGAGCATTAGCCTGGCACTGCTCTACTTCCCCAGTGCCCCACAAGCAGCATAAAAGACTGAGAGAGGGCGCTCTTCTCAGAGAGCTGCAGGACTACCAGTGAGGAAGGACCCGGCTCCCGGACAGTAAGAGTCGATGCCGTCAACTTCGGCACCCCAGAAGGCACCGTCGAGTCCAGCACATAGCTACTCTCCGGCAGGGCAGTGCCAGGTGGAGTTGTTGGAACTGCCTCCACTCTGGACACTTTTGAAGCCGCAAGCGATCTCAGAGAGATGACTGCGGCTCAGCCCTCGGTTATGAGGGAGAAGCCTCCGGTACTGTTGAGACAAGTATCGTCCAGAGGCAAGCCCACCATGATGCGGTGCTCTCAGTTGCCGGACTGAGACCGTGCCTGGCACCGTTCCCAATCTCTGTCACCGTGACATCACGCCCCGGCACCGAGTCCAGTGGGAACATGTCCGGCACTGGGGACACAGCGATCTATCTCCCCAGCACTGAGGATGGATCAGCACCGGTCCACAATGCCTTTGCAGGACCGGTACCAACGAGTGGCACCAGAGCCCAGCAAGTGATTGTCGGCACCGGTCCCTGCCACCATAGCTGCTAAGGGAAAAATTTTCTGACATCCATGCATGCTGCGTGCCCATGCCTGATTGGAATGGACGTGAACACCACATCTCGAAGAACAACAGTTACGAGAAGGTGAATAACCTTTTTTTTTTTTTTACAGCTTGCCGTCTGCAGGAAGAGACTTATTGCAGCCATAGGTGGCGAGTTATATGGGCCCGTGGTGCCCGTACTCCACCAATATTCAGAGCATGGGGACCCGGCTCCACCAATGTTTGGGGCTGGGCCCCTCCCCCATCCCCACATGCTGCCCCCCCCCCCCACCTCCCCCGGAGCATCCCTGGGCAGTGGCTGGCTGCCACTCCCCACGCTGCCCTCCCTCACCAGCCACTGGCAGGCTCCTTTCACACTGCGGCCACCCGTGCCGCTCCACTGCTCCGGCTGTAAGGGAGCAGGGTGGCTGCTGCCGCTGCAGTCTGCGGAGGGAGGAGGCACACGTGATGTGATGGCAGCCCTCCCAGGGCCCTGACCCTTCACCAGTCAGGCTACTAGATGACGGGGCGCATCCTCCTTCCCTCCCCCCGCCGGCACTGGGCAGCGCGCACACAGCGCCATGGGGGGCCAGCGGAGAGGGGCCCCAGGAGCACATGCAGTGTGGTGCGGGGTGAGTGTGCTGTCAGCATCAGGTCCGCTGACAGTAATTCTGGGCCCCAGGGCATATCAATCAGTGGGCTCCTTGCCCCCCTTCCTCAGCTGCAGCCCCATCCCCCACCTGCCTGGAGGAGCCCCAGGGAAGCTGCACCGCCCCAACCTGCTCTGAGGAAAAGCCACAGCATCTATTTATTCAAAGACACTTTTGATATGCCCCATGCAGGTTCTGGGAGAGCTGAGGCAGCGGTATTTGCTTCTCTGCTGCCTCAACTGACTCGGAACTTGCAAAGGGCATATCAAAAGTGTCTTTGAATCAAGAGATGCTTTTCCCCAGAGCAGGCAGAGCTGCAGCGGCCGTGGGCACCGGGCCTTTTTAAATTGCCCGAGCCCCTGGGTAATTGCCCCCTTTACCTCCCCACCCCGTCGGCGGGCCCCTCCCCCAGAGCTCACTGCTGTTGGTGGGGAGAGGGCTGGGGGGAGTCGTCCCCTGGCCCCAGCCCCAGAGCAGCCTGCCTGCACCCCAAACTCCTCATCCCCCGCCCCACTCCAGAGCACACACCCCCAGCCAGAGCCCTCACCCCCTGGCACCTCAATCCTCTGCTCCAGCCCTGAGCCCCCTCCTGAACCGCTCATCCCCAGCCCCACCCCAGAGCCTTCACCCCCACTCAGAGCCCTCATCCACCCACATCCCCCACATTGTGCAGCATAGGGAAACTGTTAAATGCTTACTGTTCCTAGTCCATTTTTACATTATTTTTAAAAATATATATTGGCTTACAAGGCAGGTTGGCGGGAGGGGGGGAGAGGAGGCGGGACTTGGACCCGTTCTGTGCACCACTAAATATTATACAAACCTGGCACTCATGATTGCTGTGGCATTAAAGTAAGGACGGTCCGGACTTATAAAGAATAAGTAGAATAGGTCTGTAGAACTTTGTAAATATGGTCTCATGTTTCATCTTTTTTGAATGAAGCAGGTTTTACATAGAATCGTAGAATCATAGAATATCAGGGTTGGAAGGGACCTCAGGAGGTCATCTAGTCCAACCCCCTGCTCAAAGCAGGACCAATCCCCAATTAAATCATCCCAGCCAGGGCTTTGTCAAGCCTGACCTTAAAAACTTCTAAGGAAGGAGATTCTACCACCTCCCTAGGTAACACATTCCAGTGTTTCACCACCCTCCTAGTGAAAAAGTTTTTTCTAATATCCAACCTAAACCTCCCACACTGCAACTTGAGACCATAACTCCTTGTCCTATCATCTTCTCCCACTGAGAATAGTCTAGAACCATCCTCTTTGGAACCACCTCTCAGGTAGTTGAAAGCAGCTATCAAATCCCCCCTCATTCTTCTCTTCTGCAGACTAAACAATTCCAGTTCCCTCAGCCAGCCTCTCCTCATAAGTCATGTGTTCCAGACCCCTAATCATTTTTGTTGCCCTTCGCTGGACTCTCTCCAATTTTTCCACATCCTTCTTGTAGTGTGGGGCCCAAAACTGGACACAGTACTCCAGCTGAGGCCTCACCAATGTCGAATAGAGGGGAACGATCACGTCCCTCGATCTGCTGGCTATGCCCCTACTTATACATCCCAAAATGCCATTGGCCTTCTTGGCAACAAGGGCACACTGTTGACTCATATCCAGCTTCTCGTCCACTGTCACCCCTAGGTCCTTTTCCGCAGAACTACTGCCTAGCCATTCGGTCCCTAGTCTGTAGCAGTGCATTGGAAGCATTACATATTGCTGCCTAGTGTAAAATCAGCTCATTTTCCAACCCTCTTACAATTCCCTTATGACTGTTAACAGTTACACAGTAGTTTCATTTTGCTTACTGTGAATACTACTAGACCACAATCAATATAAAGGATGTCCCTTAACATGTGTGCCAAGTTAGCAACACGCTAATGATATGATGACATTTACACTGGATTAATAGGCCTTTTATGAAAAAAAATAACAAAGAAATGCATTGCCTGCTACACAGATAATTTAAATGCCACTAAACAGAATGTTTGGGATCAAACATTTTGATACTTTGCATTATGATACAGCAGAGCCAGAGGGCAGCAGGAGAGTGCTCCATGGGTGGCATATAAACCTCAGGATGATCAGAGCCTTATTTCCTTTGGACTAAGGAGAGGTTACTACAGGTTAATTAGAGCACCTGGAGCCAATTAAGGCTCCACCCAAGACCTAATAAAACCCCCTGCTTCACTTAGACAGGAGAAGGGATGGAGAGCTGACTGTAGTTTGGAGGAGTACTGTTGTTAACCAGAGGACCAGGGGAAGGGAGACCCTGCCCAAGCAGGGTAAAGGGATTCCCCCAGCTCATAGGACCGAGAGAAACCCTGCCCAAGGAGAAAGAGGGTAAGAAGCCTGCAAAGCTGAAGGGGCTGGGACTGGAGTAGGGAGCAGACCTGGGTCCCTTTCCCACTCCCCTTCTCTCCCCCTCCAGGGCACTAGCGGAGCCCAAAAATAGGGGCAGGGCCAGCGCTCTGATCCACCATACCAAGGGAAAGCTCAAGACCCACCACAATAGCATTGGCCATTTGTCACACATGGTGTCAGGAGTGGGATTACTGTGCCATGGATTTAATCCAGGGTGAGCTAACACCACCCCCTCCATCCCCAAGATGGATGACATGGTCAAGGCATCGGTGCAAGCCACAGCAGCCCAACAGGAGGCTACCTGGGTCCAGGCAGCAGCCCAAAAGGAGGCAGTAAGGCTGTAGCAGGAGACCAATCACCTACTTATGAGCCAGGCTGCCCAGGACCGTGCCGTGCTGAAGGAAGTGGTGAACCAGGTGAAGGCCCTCACGGAGCTGAGCCGCAGCTACAACAGGACGCGGACCATGCGGGCGAGCAACTGCCTGCAGAAAATGACGCAGGAGGATGATGTGAAGGTGTATCTCCTGGCCTTGAAGAGGGCAGCCTTGCAGGAGGCCTGGCCCAGAGATGAGTGGTCTGGCATCCTCACCCCGTTCCTATGTGGGGAGGCCCAATAGCCCTACTACTATATGGCTGTGGAGGCTGCGGCAGACTACCCCCAGCTGAAAGCAGAGATTCTCGCCAGATTTGAGGTAACAATGGCATTGCGAGCCCAGAGATTCCATGAGTAGCGGTATAGTGAGGACATGGCCCCCCGGTCGCAACTGTTTGACCTAATCCACCTGACCTGGAAGTGGCTACTCCCTGAGGCCCTCAGCTCAGAGAAAATGAGGGAGCTCCTGGTACTGGACTGGTATACGAGGGGGCTACCCTTGGGTCTCCAAGCCTGGGTTGGCCAGAATGACCCTTCCATCTATGATGAGTTGGTAACCCTTATAGAGAGACAGCTGGCAGCCTGTGAACTGTTCCAGACCCCAGGAGAGGAGACAGGGCAGACCAGGAAGCCAGTCCCAACCGCAAGGCCCTGGATTATCAAGAACTCCAGGAGGAAGGGGACCGAGGAACAGCTTGAGATCCTGAAGGGACCTGGGGGTTTGGGGGGGAGAGCGCTGGGGCAGGCCAAATAGCCCAAGGCAGAGGGCGACAACCGGGGTAAGGTATTGGTGTTACGAGTGTGGGGAATTAGGGCACATAGCAGCCCAGTGCCCCAACAGGGAGAATCCCATTCAGTGCAATCTAGGGGATCATGGGGAGCCATGTAGCCTAATTGGCTTGGTGGGGGTCGCAATGATCCCACATGGGTACACCAGACCAGTAAAAATGAATGGCATCAAGACCACAGCTTTTGTGGATTCTGGGAGTGCTGTCATGCTGGTCTCGGGGAAGTCAGTAGGGCAAGACCAACTGACCCGGGCCAAAAACAGAGGAGTAATGTGTGTCCATGGCACCATAAATTTCTACCCCACAATCCCACTATGGATTGAGATCCAGGGAAATACTACCAGGGTGACCACAGGGGTGGTTCCCAGACGCACCTGCCCAGTCTTAATCGGTAGGGACGTCTCAGGATTCAAGAATCTACTCCCCCCGGTAGAGCTGGGGAGGGTAGCAACCCCCGGACTGAGATCAAGGCACCCACGGATAGTCCTGTCCCAATTTTTGCCAGACTTGCCCCAGAATTATTTTCACCCTGGGGAAAGCCCCAGAAATCTAGGTGGGAAAGGAGGGCAGATGAAAGGTTAGGAACCAGGATTTTGGCAGGGAACCAGAAAGCCGCCTTGGTTGGTAGGCAAACTTGTCTGGGAAGCCAGGAGACAGCTTGGACCAGTGAGGACCCGGAGGCGGTCCC